AATATTTTAGATAATATTTGATAATTTAAAAAATAATTTTGAATATTCAATAATTAAAAAATATATTATTATTATTATTATTTATGTCAACTTTGAAAGAGAGGAGAAAGGAGTAGGAGAAAAAAGAGAAACAAGAATTTTAAATTCTTACTTTTTCAAAGACATTGAAATTCTACTACATCTATAAAAAAAGTCACAAATGTTTAAATTTCAAATTCTTTATCAATTCTCTATCTAAACAAAATATTTCACCAAAACATTTGAAATTCTTCAAAAAAAATTAAATTATTCTATTAAAATTTCTTATCCAAACACACTAAAATTTGTACATGGTAGTACATGGTATTCTTAAATTTGATAAGGCTAGTATGAGGAAAACAAAACATTCACAATAATACATATCCCACTTCACTTGAGCCATTATAAACTAATTAAGTGAATAAATGATTTGTTTGCTTGTAACTAATGGGTTTTGAGTTCATTATGAATAAATTAAATAAGTTTTTGATGAAAATAATATGAGAGGCTTTCTACGAGTTACAAATAAACTTATTTTATTTTTAATTACTTTTTTTTTATCAAAAAGAACCTAAAATCTTTATATTCAACTTCATGCAAATGCTTGTAGCCTTTATATGTAGCACGATGGGTATTGCTTTATTTCTTATCATTTCTTTAGGGGTTTTCAATCATATCTTTTTGACTCCGATTCCCGATCTTTGACACGAGTTGAATGCTTTTGAATATATTGTTCCTCTCAAATACTTTGATCTCTTCTATGACTTGTCTCTAACTTTTTCTTTTCACATCATTTCGACGCTACGCTTTGTATTCATTCACAAAGAAAGAAAACATATCACGCACACCATAGTTCTGTGATTACATCATAAATTTTACAATTACTTGTTATCTTTCTAGGCATTTTACATTATCTTGCTAGTACTAGTATAGTATCTATGTTACTCTATTTTGCCTTGTTTGGATGTGAAAATTCTGGAAATCTCACCTACATGTATGCTAAAAAACAATGTAATGTCCATCAAACTTGTTTCTGGGGATAAATGTAAAGTTATAATATGTAGTTTAGCTTGTTAGTGAAAACCAATTTATGACTTTTTAAAAAAAAATTATATGCTTCCTCTTCCCATTATTGTGTGCCCTTTTATAACTAAAATTTTATTAGAGGAAAATTGTGGATTCAAATACTGCAATATGCCAAATTAAGTAGATACTGCAATAATCAATAATGTCAATGTCACAGCATTTCTTAACTCGAGTTGCTTTAATTTATGAGGTACAAGTGGGTACTAAAAACCACTTTTTCCCTCAATTTTTTTTCTCTTTTCATGTTAAGTGTTTAGATACTTTACGAGGGGCGAGTGTAAATTAGAAATGCAACGAAAATGTAATATATGAAAAAGAATAGCAAAATTGCTACTGGATTTGTTATTTTCTTAAAGAATATTCAGAAAATATATATTTGTCAATAATTTATTCATTGCTATATGTTTTTCTTGGAAATAATAATTTTGTATGCATTTAAAATTGGTCAAATTAACATCTGGAATTGATTAAATTCTAATAAGAATTTGCATTGAATTAGTTAGGAAGCTATGAAACTCTGGCAGAAGGACTTATAGCAGATTTGGTGATTGTAATGTTTAACATAATTGGGGTAAGAGTTTCACAATTGAGAAGTGATAGTCCTTTGTTCCCAAATTTAATTACAAGACATGTAGATTAAACATCAAAATTTGTAATTAATTTCAATGCTAGAGAATGAATCTTGTGTTTACATGCTAAGCACATTCTCAACTTTATATCACTTACATATCACATAATGAAATGACCATGTTTCCATGTCATCATCATAAACATTAATGCATCACAAACTTAAGACATGTCCAGAAATCTAAGACATCAAGGATACAATATAGACATGTTAAAACTACTACCATATCTCAAACACAGTAACATTGAATTCCAAATCACAAGTTTTTTTATTTAAATTTATCTAAATAGAAACTTCAAACACCACGATCTGAAATGAAGCTGAGATATTAATATCTTGATGCAGCCACTCCTCCATTTCTAGTTGTCACTCCTGTTAGGTTTGTCTGAATTGAAACCAACCTGTAACATATTCATGTCAGAACAAAATTTTCAAAAAATAACACAAAGTACTATATATGTATGGTATTGTACCTCAGTGGAAGGAGCAGGAACCCAGTCATTGGTTGCAGGATTGCACTTGCAAGAGTGATGACAGCCAGTGTCATTATCTGGTTCTATGTGAAAGCTTTTTCCACTTTTCTCTACTTTGATAAATCCTGTTCCCGTCTGTGCAATGTGTGTTTGTATTAGCTTTTAATTTTACCAAAATCAATTATAAAACCATGTTGAAGGTCAAAGTCACTTCAACTTTTTTAATTTGTGGATCTTATTTGATTCTAAGAGGTATTCAAACGCACAAGAATAGTTTAAAATAAACAACTGATAATGTATTGAATACTACAACAAAGTTTTATGCTTGGATTGGAGTGAATACCGTGTGGTGGTGTTTGTCCACGCTGTTGAGATCTTTGTAATATTCTGTTTCCACAAATTCTTCTGTTACTTGACATCCATCGCATACCAATTTCTGAATACAATTACAAGGGGGAAATGTAATGAAAACATATTAGAAACCTTCACATATAAAGTTCAGAATAACATTTATTTTTTATCATTCACCAGCAACATCAAGAGTTTTTTTTTATTATTTTTTTTCATGATAACTATTATATGATAAACTAACTATGCTCTCTTCGTTCCTTTGTAGTTGTCGGATTTTTAGTAGAATTGTATTTCTATTTATTTGTCATTTTGAAAGTTCAATTGTATACTTAACTTATTCACCACTAATATGTATTTACTACAAAGTAAAAAAAAAAAAAGGTAAATTAATAAGGAAAATCAAAATTATTTTATGAAAAACATAAAAATTAAAATAATTATACCGCTTCTTGTTTTGTATGCAAAAAATTTAAATGACTTAAAAAGAAACATTTTAAGGTGGATCAAAGCTAAATAAAGTCTCCAAAATCTATAAGACAAGATATCTAGCACATCAATAATCAACCAGCCAGATCTAGTTCATACCAAGTTATTTTAAATAAAATATAAATTGTATAACCCAAAGTCCTAATATCACAAGTGGATTAGGTGTTTAATCATCAATATTTACTTTTGTTTATCAATCAAATGTACAACAAAGCATCACAGCAAGCGTTTGTAGTCCAACGGTTAGGATAATTGCCTTCCAAGCAATAGACCCGGGTTCGACTCCCGGCAAACGCAGCTTTCCTTTTATTTTTTTTAAAAATGTTCAGCAAAACCGAAATCACGAAAAAATAGAGACATAAACAAAGTTTTTTGAAACTAACCTTCTCGTGGGGATCATTCTCAAGGCGCTGAAAGTGTAACAATTCTGGAATAGAAGAGTCATGGCCATTGTTATTCAAAGAATCCACATATTTTGTAGAATACTCACTACGTTGAGGCTTAGTGTGGCGTTTTGGAAGAACCCCATCAAAGTAGTCTCTAGTTTGTGCCTCTATGGAGGCTTGTGCCTCTGGTGAGAGATGAATGTCGCTCCTGTTTGGCCTGGTGTAGCACTCCATCAATTCTTGCGCAATCAAAGGGTGTTCGTAGGAATGGTGGGTTCGTGGATATTTGTAAGGGTTGGTGTGGGAAAGATATTTTTGGAGATGATAATTTTAGTTGGGGCGTAAATGGGGCCTCAAAATATCCATTGAGGACCCTTTTTCCATGCAAAATATCTAACAAATCTTATCCCTTTCGTCTTGTTAGAATTAGATGCCTCAATTTGATTCGGACTCTCTCAATTCTCCTACAAGTTTAGTCTTTATAGTGAGAAAAAGTTTAACAACGTGTTTTTTTTTTTTTTTTTTTTTTTTAATTTATAGATCTTGTCCGTAACTTAATTTTTATATAAAAAAAATTGATTATACATATTATAAAGAGATATTAGAAATATATAATCGTTTTTCTCTTTACTTTTTAGTTTATTATTATATCTTTAGATATTAAAAAAAATCTTATCTATACATTTATATATTTATACTTAATATAAAAAGAATATATTTGGTAACCACTCATTTAGTTTTCATTTTTTAGTGGACCATTATACTCCTTAAAATGTAAAAAAAAAAAAAAATTATTCTTTTTAAATAACTATCTGTAACTTTTAATATTTATCAGTGTGTAATTTTTAGAGGTACGAAGTACTTCAACTCCTCTAGTATATTATAAAGGGGATATTAAGGATATATAATTGTTTTTTATCTTCACTTTTTAATAGACTATTATATCTTTCATATATTAAAAAAAACTTCTTATATTTTCTTTAAATAATTACATACAACCTTTTAATATTTTATTTATGTATAATTATTAAAAGTATGAAATATCTCGACTCCTCTATTTTTAATAAAATAAATTAATCACATTTTTTCTTACACCGAATTTGAATTCAAAATTTTATTTTAAAAATATTAGTAAAAATTTAACCGGGTTAAATTATACTCTTATCTTATCTTATATTTTATCTTTACCTTAGTAAAGCAAATTATTTTTTTTGTTCTTCGTGAATTCTTCGTGTAATATTTTTATCTCAATCATAACTATTAAATTACATGCATGTAATGAAAATAATTGTAATAATAATTTATTTATTTATATATCATGTAATAATTGATTAGCGTTTCATTTATTTGACGTTATTATTTATTGTTGAGTGAATTAGTTAGGTATTAATTGGTGTGTTGTGTGGAGTAGTTAAAGCGGTTCACTTTTGAAATAATTAATAATTTCTTTTTATTTGCAATTTGAATTTCTCATTAATGTTGTGCGTCTTTGGACTAATTTGAACCGAAGTGTCTGATAAGATTGAATAGTAATTATTTATGAAATTTAATATATTAACTAAATTAAATAAGATTGAATTTCATTTTTTATTTAATTCATTAAATTCTAAAATAAAAATATAACTTGAATCCATAAAAAATATTTAATTTAATTTTAATATTTCATAAACAACAATTTAAGCCTTCACAAACTTTAATTTTTTTTAAGAAAACTTCTTAATAATTTCACAAATTATTAATAATAAGAAAATAGTAAATGAGGTAATTTTAATAAAATAAAATGATAACAACTTTCATTCGAAGGCAGTGAATAAATAAATAGGTAAGCTCCTGTGTCAAAATGAACAAAATCATTCATGTTCATAATAGCATTACAAAGTTTTAGTTTTTTTTTATATATATATATTTTTGTCAAAAATTTTAATATTTTTTATTCTATCTATTCGATTTTTTTGGTTTAATGTTGTATGTATTCTTTTTATTACTTTCATAATGCCTAAAAAAGTGGTATTAATCTCTAAATTACTCATGGAAGGATTCAATGGAAACTAAGATTTAAATGTTTTTTTTTATCTATTCTATATTTTGTTTAATGTTACATTTTATTTTTATTACTTTCATAATTATTAAAAAAAGTGCACTTAATCTATACCATTACTCCCGAAAGGATTAGGAGGAAACTAAGATTTTTTATTTTATTTTATCTATTCAAATTTTTTATTTAATGTTGTATGTTTCATTTATTACCTTCATAATGATTAAAAAGTGTCATTATAGTTAAACGTTGTGATTTGATAATAAACTATTTATATTAATAACATTAGTTATAAGAGATTTTCATAAATTAATATTTGTAACGATATATTAATAGTTTAAATTGTTTAATTATGATTAAAGTTGTTTATGTTGATAATATTGTGCATGTTATAAGTTGTAAGTTGTGATTGATGTTGAAGTTATGGTTATATTTTAAGTTGGAAACTAACTTGTTGCTTTAAGGTGATTATAGTTGATAAAGTTGTTAATGTTATTATGTCATTTTCTTTCACAAATTTACCACTATTTTTTCATATATTTTTACTGTAATAATCATATTTGATATATGAACAAATTAGTATTAGGTGATAGGCTTGCTAGGAGATTGGTCATGCAAGAGATGAACTTATTTTTGTTGTATTGTTCTCATGAAATATCTTGTATAAAGATGTTTGACTAGAAATAGGATTTATACTTTTAGTATTTTGTACTTTTGATGTATATTGTATATGTGTATAGGATTTATATGTAACTTTATAAGGATTCTTATGTTTTCAAGTCATATTGACAAGAACTATTTTATATTTTTTACATCTTATACATATATCTGTTGATTACTTTAAAGTAATTGATTACTCTATATTTTTTGTTGTGTAATAATAGTATTATACTAAATATAGTGACCTATTGAATTATTACATATTCAATTTAAGAAATAAAATTTAATATAGTTTTTAATAGAAAATAGACCCAACTTATTTTATAAAAAAGATAATAACTAATTTTTTATAAAATAAATTCGTTGAGTTGTGTTTAAGTTTATTATTATTATTATTTAAAAATCCAAAGCGTGAATTTTTAATTGTCTCCTTCCAATGGATATTGACCGAATCACATTCTGAGATGTGGAGCTACCATTAAAACTGCTCTATAGCCTTATTCATCTATTGCCCTGCCCAACTAACAAACACCTAACCAACCAATTACGCTATCTAAATCAATTTTACTTCACCTCTCTCCTCACCTGCTCTTACCTTTAAGTTCACTCTCATTACTTGTACCTATTTTTTTAGGTGCCAACAATATTCTATACTAAGAAAAGAATCTTTAATTCAAACATAATAATAATAATAATTAAATGTTAACTAAATATTATAACGACCTGTCATGATCCTTTTCCGATCTATATATATGGTAAAAAATTTAATGCCATTGGAAATATAAAGTTAAAATTTGCTGAGCAATGGTAGATTTGATAAGAAAACATAACATTCCTTTCTCAGCTGGGACATGTTTAACAAAATTCTTTATCATATGTTCTGGTCTTTTCTTTCTCATTTATGTATATGTGGATTGTGACACTTGAGCTTGTCTAATTTAGTTTGAATCTGCAACATCCTTTCTTCTTCTTTGCCTCTTGATCCTTTATTAACTATGTTTTCTGATAGTTGGCATCACTTGTGTGTGTGCTCAAGTTTGTTCTAGTTGAGCAATGGTTCTCGATATCTTGTATCAGATTTAGCTTCATAGTTAGGAGAGTTCTGTTTCCTCTGTCTCAAGGCAAAGTTCTCAGATTGCTAAACATGTGATGGACTACTGATTTGTTCATCAAAATTGATTTTACCTAACTATAGACTATAGTCATCGGAATTTGGAGTTAAAATATGGGTGAACTTGTAGACAAAAGTATAAAAAAATTTCACCATCATCTAAAGAAGTCTTGAAATCAATGTGATGTAAAGAAGAAGATGCAATTTCAATTTTCACATCATATTACCACAAAAGAGCAAGACCACCACTATGTTCCCTCCTTTCCCCCTTACAACTAACTACAAATATATTTGTTAAGCCACCAACGTTTCTGAATTTCATCATTTTGCTGTCCTTCTTTCTAGTCTCCATTAAGAAGACCGCCTTGGGAAACTTAGTAATCACAAGCTTCTTAAAAACTCTTACTGCACGTGGGTTCCCAAGCCCACGACAATTCCAAGCTAAGAGTTTCATTGTGCTCGGCCAGCCTGGTCTTCCAGGCCTGTCGTTGGGAGTTCATGGTAACAAAATTTCTTGTTTGGGGCGTCAGCAACTGAAGTGACATCAATCATCTCAATATCAATCTTCCTTTTCACTCCTTCATTATTAACATTTGGCACCTGAATCTGCTTCTTGCTTCTGTCCACGCTTTCTTTTCTTTTCCATGTTTTGGAAGTGTTTTTGCCCACATTAGTAATGCACTTAAATGGGGAGCGCTCCACCTGACTCAGTGAAACTTTTGGAGAATTTTCTTTTTCTCTATCTCCTTCTGTTTTAAAAGGGTCTATGCCCATATCACGAGTATTCTTGGGATCAACGAGTTCCTCCCTCTTGTCTTCATTCTCCTTTCTCACGGGTTCTCCCTCACATGCTTGCCTAGTGGAGGCAACATCGTCCACCAATTTCTTCTGGTCTTCCTCTGAGCATTAGTAATTGTTAAAGCAGAAAGCATTTGTAAAAATTCGCTGGGAATATTAATCTCTTTTTTTCCTTACTTCCTGTTGTGGTTTGAGGTTGCATGAGATCCTTGAGTGTGGTTCGGGATTTTCTACCAAAGAGCGACGCTCTCAACCATGGTCCAAGTGATGGTTCTTCTTGGTTTTCATCTTGGGTCTTCTGTGAATTACACCCATTCTCATCATGACCCACTAAGCCACAAGAGTAGCAAAACTGCGGCAATCGTTCATATTTAGGGGAGTGTATTGGATTAGGATTTTAAAGGACTTTTTTAATTAAAAAAAATCTTGCGAATTTTAAAAGATTTTACAGGATTTTCATGATTTTGCAAGATTTTACAAAACTTAAAATCAGGATTTTAATGGATTCTGCAAGACTTTTAAATCATGATTTTAATGGATTCTATGAGATTTTGTAGAATTTTTGTGGATTTTTTAAATTTGATAAGATTTCTAAAACTATATGTATATATATGATATATCTATTTCTCCCGGTATAAGGAAGTGTTGGTTTCAATGTACGATATTACATTTTTAGGAATTATATTAGCATAAATATTATTGTTTAGAATGTTATATCTAGAAATATTTAAAAATGCATTCGGTAGAATTTTAACAGTTCTAGAAATAATTTTAAAATTTAAATTAATTAAAAAAAGTTTAATTATTAGATTAAAATATAATATCCCAATTTTTTTTTATTGAAATACAACCTTTCCATCCAAATAAAAATGAAAGAAACAATGTTGTAACTATTTTTTTTTAAACTTGGAACAAATATAAAAATATGACATTCTTAAATTTATATTTAATGTGAATGAGTTTTTAATACGTGAAACAAAAACGAAGAACTATGGATGTTAACTTGTTATTTTGTTTAAACTTTAAATCTAAATGTTGTCGTTCGTAAACTTTTTGTTCCTGGCATTATAACCATATTAAGGAATTGCTATTTTAGGCTAAAATCCTATTTTGGTCCCTTATAATCTTTTTTTGTTTCAATTTAGTCCTTCATTAATTTTTGGTCTCAAATTGGTCCTAAATTAATTAAGGGGTTTCAATTTAGTCCCAAATTAATTAATTAGTTTCAATGTGGGACTTCCGTCCAAATTATTTAAACGGAGTTAACTTTTGGCCACGTGGATGCACGTAGATGCATACGTGGCATCCACGTGAATGAGAAAATTATTTTTAATACACCTGGACCCGGAACGGCCCGTTCTGAAACCGGAACGGGCCGTTCTGGTTGCAAAATTAAAACACTACCAGTGAAGCAGAACGGGTCGTTCTGAAATCAGAACGGGTCGTTCTGGTTTCAGAACGGCCCGTTCTGGTTTCAGAACTGCCCGTTCCAGAACTGTGAATAAAATATTCTTTACTTAATTGTGTTTTTGATATTATAATTATGCAATTTTGATATCTAAGATTTTAATTGAGTAATTTCAGTCCTTAAAAGATTATAATTGTGTAATTTTAGTCTCACAATTTTTAATTGAACAATTTTAATCTCTCAAATATCATAATTGTGAAATTTTAGTCTTTCTCATTAAAAATTTAATAATTTTAAAATTTTAATATATATATATATATAATGTTTTAAAACTATATAATTGTTTGTTTATTTAAATTAACGTATATTATTTTTTTTAATGTATCAAATGATATATATTTACTATTACTAAATAAATAAAATTTATATATTATTAGTATTTTAATATTACTGATAAATTAATATCAATAATATTTTTACCCTTTTTATAAATAAACTAATAATTTGATAAATATAACTTAATATATATTAATATACTTTTACAAAAATATAAATATATAAGATCAGATATATATTTCTAATTAATATACTTATATTTTTGTAAAAGTATATTAATATATAACAAGTTATATTTATCAAATTATTAGTTTATCTATAAATATATTAATAATATTATTGATATAATATCGAAAATTATAATATACGTTAATTTGAATAGATAAATAATTATTTAATTTTAAAACATTATATATATATATATATTAAAATTATTAATTTTTAATGGGAGAAACAAAAATCATACTATTATGATATTTGAGGGACTAAAATTGTTCAATTAAAAATTGAAGGACCAAAATCGCGCAATTGCAATTCTTTAAGGACTAAAATTATGCAATTAAAATCTTGGAGATCACAAAACTGCACAATTGTAATACTTGAGGGATAAAAAATGCAATTAAACCAATATTCTTAATTAATTTTATTAAAAAATATAATAATTAATAAGATAAAAGGAATATCACTTTATAATTTTTTGCAACTTATTTAAGATTAAAGGAATAAAATGATAAAAATTAATAAGATAAACATAATAAAATAAAATATAAAAAAAAATATTAATATATTTATTTTATTGGATATAATAACATAATTAAAATATAATTAATAATATATATTTTATAAAATTATTAATATTTTATATATAAAAAAATAAAATAAAACCGGAACGGCCCGTTCTAAAACTGGAACGGGTCGTTCTGGTGCATTTTGGGTGTGTTAATTTTGTATTTGGAACGGGCCGTTCTGGATGCAAAATTAATACACCAAAAGTGCACCCAGAACGGCCCGTTCCGGTTTCAGAACGGGCCGTTCTGGGTCCAGGTGTTTTAAAAAAAATTCTCATCCACGTGGATGCCACATATGCATCTACGTGGTGTCCACGTGGCCAAAAGTTAACACCGTTAAAACAATCTAGACGGAAAGTCCCACATTGAAACCAATTAATTAATTTAGGACTAAATTGAAACCAATTAATTAATTTGGGACCAAATTGAGACAAAAAATTAATGAAAAACTAAATTGAAACAAAAAAAAATTATAAGGGACTAAAATAGGGTTTTAACCGCTATTTTATAAATCAACCCAAATGAAAGAGACAAGCATGCCACAACTAATGGTCACACCACTTTTTGGTCAAACCAAAAAGATGCTTTGATATAATAATAAAAGTAAATTGGTAGTTGGTAATTTTGTTAAAATTACACATGGGTCCATTTAAAATTACCACTGTTGATGAGAGTCTTTCACAGACGGAGTCTAAGGTGGTTAGAATTATTTCGGTATACGTTAGGAAAATAATTATTTCTGCTTTTAATTTATGGAATAGTTATTTTAGTTTAATTAATAATTTCAATTTTAAATTATAAATATAGAATTTTATTGAATCCTCAGACAAAACCTTGACGCTATCCCATACATATATTTTGCCCACATGACTTGCATCCAAGGCTTTCATTGAGAATGGATCAAATCTCAGACAAACTTGTCTATCAAACAAACATTAGCTTGCCTAACTTTTCCAACATTTTTAAGACTACCATGGATTATATTCTACAATACTCTTAAAAATTCTATGAAATTAATAAATTTATTATAAATAATAATTATTACTGTATAACTTATTTTCTCAAATAACATTACCCAAAGGATATTACAGGTAAGAATATCTTGCTGCGTGTCCTTTCCACACAATTGATTTGTATTGTACTGTATCTCCTTATCTCATCTCATCACATGCTCATGCTCATGTTCTGACTCCTCCCAATCAGGTCCACTTTTTTTCATTCCATGCCACCACCCTCTTCCACCACTCACAGCCTTTGCCACCGTCCACCGCCGCACGCCGCCGTATTACTCCGGCTACAGGTCAACCATCTCTCTCTACTTAATGTCACCTTACCAAAGCCATTGGTTTGGCATTTTATTTTATTTTTCTTTTAATTTCTCGCTAGCTTCATCACAATAAGTGCCTGTTCTTAGAAATTGGGTCTCACAACACAATCCTCACCACCAGTGCTGTCATATTCATCAATTATTATTATGTCAATACATTGATATATGCACATTAACCTCTTGCATACGGTGTAGTTATAGCTCATTCAATTTTACACATTCTCACCTATATTCTATTTCATAGGTTAGGTAACTGGTTCATAAAAAGGAAACTTTCTATCATCTTGTATCAGAACATAATGAGAAATTAAGGCCATGTTTCCTAGCCTTTTTTTTTTGTCTTGACAAATCGTTTTTAGATAAAACTCAAAACAAATTAAATTCAATTTAATAATTTTTTAAATTGAATTTTTGTCTTACTGTCCACATTAACTAGTTCATTATGAGAGAAATGGAGAAATTGTATTAAGTTATTTATTTTTAAAGCTAATTGATTTAACTTTTTTTTGTAAGAATTATTTTTCCATAAAAATAAATCCTTTTTTTTCAAAAGCTTTTCTATAAATGTATTTTATTTATTCAAAAAAACAAAAAATTAAAAAATATTGTAAAAAATAGATAAATTATTCGATATTTATAATCTGAATTGTATGTATAAGATTGTGACAAGAGATTTTTTTTCAGGAAAAAATATGGTTTTATTCTTCTAAAAAAAATAATTTAAAAATACACTATTTTTGGCCTTTAAAATAGTTTGAGAATAGTTATAAAAAGTTATTTAAATCATTTGAGATCATTTTAAATTAGAATAACTAAAATAAAAAAATTAAAGGAACCAATACTGAATTTGAGAAATTTTTTTATAGAGTTTTAAAATATATTTTACCTTTTTTTTTAATAGATTACATGTATTTTATGTAGAAGACAACATGTTTGAATAAGATTCAACTTTTATAAACGATTTTTTTTTATTTCAAATATTTAATATACTTGCATATTTAATATTTGAGTTCAAAATTTCTGATTAAATAAAAATAATCTCATGTTAATTAATTTACATACCGATGAATAACAAGATAATCCTTTGACAATATTGTTTGAAGTTTTTTTTCTTTTCTTCATTATTCGAATCAAATTTGTCTAAGAAAAACATGTAAGTGTTGAAAGAATGTTAATAACGTATTGCTCAACATACTAATTTGATATATCATACTATTTGTTAAATAAAAAGTAAAATCTAAATATTTTTATATTCTTGAATGAATTTCCTCTAATAATAATTTTTTTTATTGAATTAGAATTTTGGTGTTGATATGGTGCGCACCCCCCTCGTGGGTGGTCTGACAGTGTTCACAAATCCAGCAAGTCACGCTCCCACAGACACACACAGCACGTGTTCCCAATATGCATTGCTAATTTTCTATACCATTATTGAGTCACTCAACGAGTCACACCGGTCCCACTCACTCACTTGCCACCATTTCTGAGCTTCACTTCTCTCTCTCTCTCTCACACTCAGTGTCAAACACAACGCAATGACGAGAAAGGTCTCGAATTTATCGGATCTGATCCAAAGGGTCACCGCGTCCTGCCTCCTCCACCCCCTGGCGGCGGCCAAGGCGGAGGACGAGTCGCCGTACGAGTCGGAAGACAACAGGTACGAGGAGGAAGAGGAAGAAGAGAACGATGAGTACGAGGATGTTGTTGGTGAAGAGAATGGCGATGAGTACGAGGAAGAGAGAATGGTGGGGTTGAAGGCTCTGAAGATGAAGCAGATGGAGGCGCTGATGGAGGAGGTGTTCGAAACGGTGTCGTTCATGAAGAGGGCCTACGTCAGCCTGCAGGAGGCGCATTCCCCGTGGGACCCAGACAGGATGCGGGCTGCTGACGTGGCGGTAGTGGCTGAGCTCAGGAAGCTCGCCGTGCTCAGGGAGAGGTTCCGCCGGAGCGGGGGCGGGGAAGGGAGGAGGAAGGGGAGGAGGAGAGGTGGTGGGGTGGCGTCGGTGAGGGAGGTGGTGGCGCCGTACGAGGCGGTGGTGGAGGAGCTGAAGAAAGAGGTGAAGGTGAAGGATTTGGAGGTGAAGAATCTGAGGGAGAAGCTTGATAGTGCTGCTGTTGCTTTGTCTAGTAATGCAAGTGGTGAGAGGAAGCCTGGCAGGTCTTTGTCTAAGAGGAAACTCGGAATTCAAGGTACATTATGCATATGCAATTTGCGACCCACTTTTTTTTTTTTTTAATGGAAATGTTGTATTTGGACGGATCATGGATGGAATATTCAAAAGAAAAACAAAAGTGGAAAGTTTCTTTATGTTTTGTTTTGTTGCTTTGAGCTTGGAACTTGTATGTTTATTCAAAGAGAATGTGATTCTTGTATGTGAATTAGTTTGGCGTTTGGAATACTTCTAAATAACATGATTTGGGGTTTCAGGAAAAAAAAAAGAAAAAAGGTTAAGTTTTGCTAGAAGAGAAAATTAATTGAGGATCTGAGTCTCTTAAGTGTGTGTAAAATTTAGTATGAGTTTTTCATCTTTATGTAAAAACTATTTTTCATAACCTTTAATCAAACAAAATATTGGTGGCAAAAATCAATAACTAAATATATGTGTCTTTGCTGTAATCATGGTTGACAGGAAGCAAAATTAATTCTGATATTCTGACATTGAAACCAAACACTTGGGATATGTTTGGATATAAGTTGGAAAAGTACTCCTACTGCTGATAATTTCAATACGCATTCCTGAATTCCAAGACTTAATTGAGCGTAAAATATTTTTGAGCTCTCCCATCATGCACTAAATTTGTGAAATTGTTTCTACAGCAATTGCAGCAGTACCAACCCCGGAACTCTTTGAAGCAACAATGGTGCAAGTGAGAGAAGCCACAAAGTCTTTCACATCTCTGCTGCTGTCTCTCATGCACAATGCACATTGGGACATAACAGCTGCTGTTCGTTCCATTGAAGCTGCAACTGCCTCCACTGACAAATATCATCATACTTCTTCAACCACCTCCATTGTCTCAGCTCACCATGCAAAGTATGCCCTTGAATCCTACATATCCAGGAAAATCTTCCAAGGGTTCGACCATGAGACTTTCTACATGGATGGCAGCCTCTCCTCCCTCCTCAACCCTGACCAGTTTCGCCGTGATTGCTTCACTCAGTACCGGGACATGAAGTCCATGGATCCTACCGAGCTTCTTGGAATCTTGCCAACATGTCACTTTGGAAAATTCTGTTCCAAGAAGTACCTTGCCATTGTCCATCCCAAGATGGAGGAGTCCTTGTTTGGGAACTTGGAGCAGCACAGTCAAGTCCAAGGAGGACACCACCCCAGGAGTCAGTTCTACAATGAATTTTTAGGGGTGGCCAAGACAGTGTGGTTGCTTCATTTACTGGCATTCTCGTTGAACCCTGCACCAAGTCAGTTTGAGGCAAGTCGTGGAGCTGAGTTCCATCCACAGTATATGGACAGTGTAATAAAATTTTCAGGTGGGCGAGTGCCGGCTGGTCAGATTGTAGGGTTTCCAGTTAGCCCTGGATTTAAGCTTGGGAATGGGTCTGTTATAAAGGCTAGAGTTTATTTGATAGCCAAAACATAAGGTTTTACCAAGGGGAAATTCTTTTTGCACCTCCTTTTTTTTTGTTGCTGCATCCCTCGTTTTTTCTTTACATTCCAGAAATTAGTTTTCTATTACAATTTCGAAAACTAATTTTTAGAATGTAAGAAAACAAATGCAGGAGAAGGGGTTGTGGCGAAAAGAGAGGGTGCAAATAGAATCACCCTTTACGGGGTCATGTTTTAAAGGAATTGATTTAGTGATCCAAATATTTCCCTAGCAGGATTGTTGAGCAGTTGATGTAATATGAAAATCCTTAGGCTAGGTTATTGATTTCCAGGTGATTCAGCTTTAACAGGGGATATCTTGACTGGTTAGAGTCTAACCTTGAAGTGATTGTGACGTAGTTCATTCTCAAATATATATTAGCAAGCTAAGAATTTTCTCAATGGATTTTTAACTTAAAAATGAGAGGAAGGAGAACTAATAATCTTGTATGGAACCAACAAAATCCATATTCGATATCAATGGCAATAGACCCATAATATTTGAATGGAATAATAAATTATAGACTAAATAATTATCAGTTTTCATGCATGTGTCATTTCACTTGTCTATTCAATGAGTGGGGAAATACACAATTTATTTCCCAGGAAAAAAAAAATGAAAAATACATCTCGTATCGAACCAGCGCAATGTAGGCCTTTCAAGTAAATGTAGTTTCACGATCTATTCATTGGATAAGAATGTTTGAATTGTGGCGTCCACGTGGCACAAGTGGACAACAGCCATAAAAGGTAAATTAACGGTTTATTCATCGACTAAGAATATATAAAGCTTGATGTCCATCCACACGACAGAAGTAGGAAACAAATGAGGAAAGACCGCCCTTCTGCTGTAAAAATCTGTCGTTCATCTGAAAGCAATCATCCGAGAAAAAACACTATTTTTGCTTAGTGAACCTCAATCATGAAGAGTGGCAATAATTATCCTCTGAAGACCCTCTTGACCTGTCACATGAATCAAATACCACTTTCAATATTTGACGGGCAGTTTCATATAGTCATGTACAACTTCATCTTAAGCGAAGCAAATCCCAAAAACAACAAATGATACCAGAAGGCAAAAGCGTGTAGCAATAATATATTATTATTATTATTATTATTTATTACACATGACAAGCTGTGTAATTGACCCAATACAAAAGGCAACCTTTAAGCAGGACATTTTTAAGTGGATACCAGGGTCCAAATCAGCAATACTGCAATACGATTTATAAATTACATATGATAACAGCATAGGCAAGATAATATGTATATCTTACTTGTTCAAGGGTAAGAAACATAACCACATTCCAAGCTCCTATTCGACCAAAATTAGGAAGGAAACCTTTATAGAAGGCCGTAAATCCCTGCAATACATTTGTGACATGAGTTCAATCGGTACACAGAAAAAGATAAACTTTATGCAGACCTTCTTGTCAACTCTAAAATGTTTTTGTCCTGTCTCCCAAGTCATCTCATATAATTAAGGTCTTTACCTGAGACATTTATAAAAATAAAAAAATAAAAAAACGGACAACCAAATTAAAAGTCCAAATAAAAACATAGCAAAAAAAGGTGCTAACTATTGTAGTGAATCTTCCAATTCCCCTAGGTTTCAAGATTTTAAACAACTACAATAATGACCAAATCAAATAAGGAAATTCACAAACCTCATTAAGCAAAGTCTTGAGGAAGCAGTCAAATGTGCTTTTGTAGGTTGAATCCCCCATCATCCTGGATTTCACCTGGAAAATTATGGGCATGGATATAAGTCATCACTTGCTTCATAAAACTAGAGGGTGCTTCTTCATAGGAAAATATTTTTAAGAAATGTTGCAATGGTTCTAGAATTTCAGAATACTATGGAAAAGTTGCTTATATTTTACAGGAATATTTATGGAAGAACACAGTCAGAATTATTGAAAGCAATTTTCCTAGTAAAAAGTGTTTTGGTTACTATTGGCAAGATCCAGCACTAACACTGTCAGCTTTAGGTCTGCATGATCCTGATCCAGCACCAAAATGTTACGCCAAAACATTAAAATTGTATCATTTTGGAGCCCTTTCCTTCTTTTTTTCTCTTCATTTATAAACAGGACTATCATTGCTATCAATGCTATGTATTGTTAACAAAGCTATGTTCTTCTTAAGCAATAAGCATAAGTGCAGACTGCAAACAAACAAATAAGGGGAGAGGAAGGGGTGCTGGGGTTGCACCTACCACATCTACAGGAGAACCAATAAAGACAGCAAAAAGACCTGCACCTAAGCCAGCAAGGAGGTGAGTATAGACATCATCCATGAACCCTGGAATTGTCAAAATCGTCTGCATAAGTATAAAGAATCAGAGCAGCATTGCGATTAAATTTTATATGAGGCTGTACTTCAAATTATAGCATAAATACAATTTATAATACCCTATAATGTGATTACCCGTTTCACTTGATCATAGCTAGCTAATTCAGCAGCATTTATAATTGCATTCCTTGCTATATTGGGCCCAAGCCCAGTCCACAAGGCCCCTATCCCTTCCTAGTTTAACAAAAAATATATAGAGAATTAGACTCGATTAGTATATTTTCAACATATAGGAAGGAACAAGACCAAAGAAATTCATTAGACGAAAGGCTTACTTGTCTTGAGATAGTTATATATGCATCTATAGCACCAGAATAACGCCTAGGTACCCCAGATGGCAATTGACCTTCAGCTTGGAGCCTAACTTTGACTAGATCAGTTGGATTAGCAACCATGATTGCCAAAGCACCTACAAGTTCAAAAAAGTGAGTCAATGACTATAGCATATAATATAATACAAAAATATATATATTTCCATGGAGAATGTTACTTTTTCACCTTTGTGTAGAAGTAGAATTCTCCGGGGTTTGACTTGAATATGGAATCACTCTCTTTATTTAGAAGGAAAATACAATTTGTGAGCATTTAAATCGTTTTGTTAAAAGGAAGAAAATTCTAATTAAATCCCTATTTAATTTCCTTGTCTATTTGCATTTCCCGTCTCTCAAATTTACAAGCCTTTTCTACTTTCAACTTCTATTATGTGAATGTAATGTCAATAACTTTACATTTATATTATGCAATTACTACTTCATATTTATGATAAAGTCTTGTGCTACAATATAAAGATGAAAAAGTTGCTTGATAAATAATTAATAAATAAAAAACACAGCTAAAATCTTAATTTTCATGTAAATGGGGAAAAAATTAACATAATCAAGCATTATTTGCCTTTTAAATTATAATGACATTTTTTGTGCCATTGAAATTTGAAACCAAGGAGGATGCTAATTTTCCACACAAAGGTGAGAAGGTCAATGAATGTTATGCAATATGAAGCCATAGAAATGTTCAGAAGTACTCACCAGTCAGCAAAGCAGCCAGTACCATATGGTATAATGGAACCTCTCCAACAAATGCACTACCAACAAGAAATGTTTTGACCTGTTCATGGTGCAGTTCATATGTACAACCCATGTTCCTCCAATGACAGTCTTATTCAATGAAAGTTAGATATTATACTCACAGGATCATATAACCCAATTCTTAAGCCCCCATATAGACATTGGCGATGCAAACCAGGAACAATGCCTTTCCATAGAGCTGATATACCCTCTTCTCTAGCAATGGTCTTAACCGTGCCCAGCAAGCCCTTGTATTTAGGTAAACCCACTTCATCATCAACCCCTAGCTTCCTTTGGAGTTGAAGCCTGACCTTAGCTGTGTCCAGAGGAATAGTACAAAACTACACAGAGCCCAGAGGAATTATTAGAATTACTTTCTGAAAGCCATGTTTCTAGCTTAAATTTCTATACCAGACATGGAATAGAATATTGACATAGAGGCATTTATTTATCAATAAGTAACTTCAGACGAGAAGAAATGAAACATGTAAAAAAGTTTGAAGCATAATCATTGTTTCTTTTTATATATAGAAAAATAAATTTGATTAAGGAAGAAAAGCAAAGTACAAAGCTCTTGCAAAAGAAACACCTAGAAACTAAAAGATTGAGTCAGGTAACAAGTCATGCCAATCTATCTGCATGATAAGAACATCAAGCACAAACAATAATAAGAATAAGTGAACATACCTCTGTACGATCTCAACTCACAGTCAATTAAAACTGTAACCAGTCTTTTACCTCACTTCATTCACTAGGATCCCTCTCTTCATTTTTCCGAAATACTCATTTTCAACTTTCAAGTATAGTAATATCCTATTTTCTAAGCTCAAAAAATTATTTAACGACTAACGAGATTAATTTCGATGCACTATTAACAAAAAAAAAAAAACTATCGACTCATCATTGATACTATAAAATTCAACAAATTTGTGATTTGATTACAGTGTAAGACACAATGCCACTATAATTTACAATTTACTCAAAAGTAAATACATGGAACAATATATACTGCACATTGTAAAGCGAAAAACAAGCACGATTTCACTTTTCAACTTCTACACAGACGCACACAAATAAACTCCATAAACTCAGCTAACACAAGCGAGTCCTTAACTAGATTATCTTTCTCTCCTAACTCCTTTTGCTTATAAACATACGATTCAGTTTCTATGCCACACAATCGAATATGCGAGTAGCTCTAATCGAAATGCTGAATCGAAATCGAAACGAAACGGAAGGAATCAACGGCGCAGAAGGAAGGTTACCTCGGCAACACAAGCGGCGAAAGCGCTGCAAAAGAAGGCTTGAACGAACGAAATCTGGTTTGGATCTGACATTGTTGACACTCCGGGCAGAAGGAAAAAGGGTTGGTTGGGTGAGTGATTAAGAAGGTGAAGGAGAGTAGCATGAAAGAAAGCAACAACCACGTTCGGTTAAATCTTATCACTCTCCTTCAAACGAGTTCAACGCGTTCACGGTAAATTTACTAATATATAGGTGTTAGTTGCGTTACTTTCACACTAGATACATACTGATGTGATGCACATGCAGTACCCTTCTTAAATGAAAATATCAACATTTTGGGAGCCAGAGATATTAATTTTTGACAACTATCGTTATATCGTCACTTTTATGTAAATATTCTAGTAGGAATTAAGTTATTTTCAGCCGAATTGAATTTTTCCAGTAAATATTTACTTTAGTACTTCATAAAAAATACGTTTCACTGTTTTCTGTAGGGGTAAACAATTCGGGTCAAGTCAAGCTTATCAATTAACTTTAATTGGATTAAATTAAATTTATGATAATTTTTTTAAGTTATCTAATATGATTATAACTGAATTAGATCAAGTAGGGTCATCAACTGAAATAATTTTAAAAAAGTATATTTTAAAAATTGAAATAAATAAAAAATAAATATACTTAATTTAAATTAAAAATATGATTCAAAATATAAATAAAATTAAAATAATTATATATTAAAAATAACAAATATTTTAAGTAAGTAGACATTATGTGTTACTAATGCAACAAATTTTGAATTATGTAATAAGTAAAAATTAAATTATTTTTCTTAATTAAATTTAGTCAATCAATTCATTCCTTCAATATGTCACAAAAAAAAGTAAAATTAAATATATACAAATGAGTGTAATATATGTTATGTTGTGTCTAATATTTTTAACTTAATTTAATAATTTATTATAGGTTAGATTAGTTTAAATTTATCTAATAACAAATTCTTTGATCTGTTATCCAATATAATTATAATTGAATGCATAAAAATTACTCAATCTAATTTACTGACTTAACTCAACACACAAAAATATAATTAAGTTGATGTGGATAAATCATATTCATAAGTAACTTGTTACTTTATGACAATAATTTCTCAATGAATTAGATTCATTCCTTTTTTAAATGTTTAAATTATTATAATTATTTATATTTCTTATTACAATTATTTATATTTCAATTTCAACAAAAATTTACTAACAAAATTCAATAAAAATAGAAGACTGTATGTATATTATAGTATTCACCCTACACCTCTTATTATGTATAATTATTTAAATAAAGTATTTTATATTATAACATAAAATCTTAACTCAAAAATTTAAATTGCACTCATTTTTTTATATTCAATTATTATAGTTATTTTGACTTCTACTGATAATTTATTTTATTATTTTAAATAGTGTAATAATTAGTGTTTTGTCGTGTGTTTCAATTTCCTAGGCATTGTTGGATAAAAATAAAAATTTAACAGTATTAAATGTTGTTTCGATTCCAATAGTTCGTAAAGCTGTCTTAGCTCAGTGGTAGAGCGCGTGGCTTTTAACCACGTGGTCGTGGGTTCGATCCCCACAGACGGCGAATATAATAATCTATTTTTCATCATTTAATTAATTAAGTAAAAGAGAAGTTTCTTAATTTGGTCATATTAATTATGTAGTTTTTTAATCATCTTTTGAGAAAAAATAATGAAATATATAAAGTGATAATAATGAAAAATAAATATTCAGTCATTAAAAAATAAAAATAGTTTTACCATACATAATATAAGATTAAAATTTTATAAAAGATAGACGATAATTAAAAGTAAAAACTTGAAAATGTGTAAAAAATTTGTTTTTGCCATAACCCGATAATTTGAATTAAATCAACTATATCTTAGTCCGATTGAATTTGCCTAACATATTTCAAAACAAAATCAACCTAATTAAATTTGTTAATTCAAATTCAATTTCAGTCTAAATCACAACCATTTCCTCCAAAAACAACCATTACAAATTTACAATGTACCAAAAAAAAATTTAATGTACCAAACAATAAACCCATTACAAAATAGTCAAGATTCGACTCATAAAAGATAAGATTAAAAATTAATATATTGATAAGAATAAATATGATTTATTTTTATATAATATTTTCAAAATTATGCTTATATTGTTCATATAATCTAATTAATATTCATTTTTTTTTTCTGATTATTATAATATCTCTCTAATTTTTTTAATTAATATTATTTTAGTTTAAAAATAATTAATATATGAAATTATATAGAATGAGTTTTATATAAAAAAACAAAAATATTATTATAACTCGGATCTTAAGTCTTATAATTAGTGTAAAACAGTATTATAATTAAAAATGGTAATAGTATTTAAGATTTTTAAAATATCAAATATTAAAAAAATTTGAAAATTAAAAATATGTTTAGCTCAAGGACAAATAATATTATACTAATATTTTAATTTATTTAATATGCAAAATAACTATTTTCATATATTTAATACAAATGAATAACATAATTTAAATGAGAATATTTTCAAAAGTTGTTATATTATTTTTATATTCGTAGAAATTATAATGAAGACATTAAATATTGTAATGTATTGGATTATTTTAATCTCTATTATTGTTTTAATTGTTATACTTTTATTCGATTATATTTATTTTAATTTTATTTTTTGCATAAATATATTTTTAGTCATATAAAATGGGTGGATTTTTTGATTTTGTATTTTGTTTCATTCTTAAAATTTTTGGAAACATAAGACTTTGGATTGTAATATACTATTTCAATCTATACAACTAAATTGTTATACTTTCATCTGATCATATATTTTATTTTAATTTTATTTTTGGTTTATGTATGTTTTTAATCCTATAAAATGAATGAATTATAATTATAATTTTTGTAATTGTTTTCATCTTTAAAAAAATCAAAAATATTGTTTATGGTACTTTTAAAAAAAATTAGTCACTATAAAATAATAAATTTTGGTTTCTGCCCTGATGAAATACTTTTTTTTTTTTATTTCTTTAAATTTTAAAACTATCATTCTTGGTTTTTAATGATGATTCTTAGATAAATAAATAAAATTTATCTTAAAATCTATAATTTTAAAGTATATTATACTAACATAATATCATTAACAGTCAATAATATTTTAATAAAACAAAAAAGTATTTAAAAAATAATTACATAATAATGTAGATTAAAAACTTGAATATTTTCTAAAATGAAAAATCATATTTAAGTCTCTATTTTTTTATTCCTTTATAATACATTTTTTAAAAAAAATTAAATTTCAAAATTCAAGTAGGATTGCAATAAGGTAAATGTTATATTGACCCCTCCTTCCTGATAGATATGCCCATCCTTCTTAATTTTTTTCCCCAAAATTTTTCTTAAATTCTCTTTTAATTCATTTTATTTTTAAAATAAATTTCATTTATAAAAATTATATTTTTCACCCACCTCTCTTATTTTACTCGTTTTCTTTTCTTACTATATCTCTTTTCATACGTCATATTTTTTCTTTCTAATATTTTATTTCTTGATTTTTTTTAACAATCAAGACACCCATCGATTCATTTTTATTATTTTTAAATCCTAGTTTTTCAATCTTAATTTTAATATTTTTTAAACTCTATCACTTTACATTCAACATTATATACATTGAATACAAAATTGTAAATTTTATAAAAATATGGTTTTTAAAGATATGATTTATTAATTTTACAATAAATTATTGATTAAAAAAAGTATATTTTTTTATCTTCATTATTCTAAAGTCATATTTTTTTAGTTCTTAAAATATATTTCCAAAAAATACATTCTAGAAGAGTAAAAATATTTATCTTTCCTAAAATTCTTTTCATAAGCTTAAAAAATATACTTTCCAAAAAATACCTTTTTAAAGAGTAAAATAAAAACATTTTTCTCTCATAAAGTTGAAAATATATTTTTTATATTTTAATTTTTTTTCAAACGAGTAAATTTGTGTTTTTTTTATAATATACTTTTCAAAAAGATAATTTTTCTAACAAAAAATACTTTCTAAAAAATCATTTTGAAAAGTATAAAAATAACAATAAATTATTATTAATTAATAAAAGTTTATTTAACAAAATCCTTCTTATAATCCTATGTGAGTCTTAAACATTCCCTCCAAATACTCTGAAAAACCTACTGGCGCGGGATATCAATTATTTGCCCCAAATCCCGCCAATTTCAAGAACCTTCCCCTATAAAACCCTTCTCCCTCCCGCTACTTCTTCACATTTCATTTCCGAATCTCGAACCCGCGCGAAACCCTAACCCTAACCCAATTACACTCTCGATCCACGATGTTGGAACTCCGTCTCGTGCAAGGTTCCCTTCTCAAGAAGGTTCTCGATGCCATCAAGGAGCTCGTCAACGACGCCAACTTCGATTGCTCCTCCACCGGCTTCTCCCTTCAGGCCATGGACTCCAGCCACGTGGCGCTCGTCGCCTTGCTTCTCCGATCGGAGGGGTTCGAGCACTACCGCTGCGACCGCAACATCTCCATGGGCATGAACCTCGGCAACATGGCAAAGATGCTCAAGTGCGCTGGCAACGATGACATCATCACTATTAAAGCTGATGACGGTGGTGATACCGTCACTTTCATGTTTGAAAGCCCTAGTACGTTTCACTTGATGATTTATTCTGTTTCTGGAGTTTTTAACTGAGTTTGATGTTTTAGGGTTTGTGTGGTTTGTTCTGTTTTTATGATTTTTGTCTTGGTTATTCTTATGTTTGATTTTCAATTGCTAGTTGGAAGAAGTTATTTTTTAATGTTTCATGTCAGGAATGTGATTTGCCTTTGGAATGTTAGGGTTTTCACAAGGAATGTGGATTTCGTAAAAATATTGATGCTTATAGGTTTAATTCGAGGCTATGTGGTTCAGGATTGCCTACTTTTTAGGGTTTTGGTGTTTTGATTTTACTGATGCGAGATTTGTGTTTGATACATTGCTAATTTTAGAATTTTGTTTGGGTTTTGTCTTACAGCGCAAGATAAGATTTCTGATTTTGAGATGAAGTTGATGTCCATTGACAGTGAACATCTTGGGATTCCGGAGGCAGAGTATCATGCCATTGTTAAGATGCCATCTTCTGAGTTTGCTAGAATCTGCAGGGATCTTAGTAGCATTGGTGACACTGGTAATTAGCTTTGCCTCTCAGTTTCAGTGGATTGTTAGTATTTGTTTTTTGTTTAGAGGGTTATGTTGATAGATTTTTGTTGTTTTGTGGTTTATGTTGAAGTTGTTATTTCGGTGACTAAAGAGGGTGTCAAGTTTTCCACCAAAGGAGATATTGGAACTGCTAATATAGTTTGCAGGCAGAATACTTCGGTAGACAAGGTGAGAAACTGTACATGCTTTTTATCTTTAGTTCTCATTCTGTTCAACCAATGTATTAAGTTTAACTTTATACTTCTGTACATGTTTTTGTAATCTATTTTGTGAGATGTAAAGGACAGTGGTGTGCAATTTTTACAAGTTTGTATTTGTGGTTTAATGTTGCAGCCTGAGGAAGCTACATTGATTGAGATGAATGAACCTGTGTCCTTGACGTTTGCCCTGCGGTACATGAACTCTTTCACCAAGGCAACACCGTTGTCTAATACAGTTACGATTAGTCTGTCAAATGAGCTGCCGGTAGTGGTTGAGTACAAAATTGCTGAGATGGGTTATGTTCGGTTTTATTTGGCTCCAAAGATAGAAGAGGATGACGAAGAAACAAAACCTGAAGTTTAGTTTATTTTTGAATGGACTCCGAGGATAGAAGAGGATGAAGACACAACCTGAAGTTTAATCTATTTCTGAATGAATTGGGATGTAAGGATTTTAATACGGTTGCACTTAGGATGCTGTTATATATTTTTTGTTTGAAGATATTTTAACTGTTCAAAAAATTTGCTAATTTATGAATTCTGTAGAAGAGATGTATTGTACTATTGTTTCTTCACCACCTTGTTTTCCCATTTTATTGGTAATTAATTCAGTGTGAAACAATTGGTGTACATTTTTTCATGCTGTGTTTTTACTTTTCTGCACTATAACAACTTCATAACAATATCTTGCGAAATATCATTTTGTAAACATTAGCATGGGATAGTCCTTATCCCATGGCGGGAATAAAATAACCCGATGGCTACGATTTTGAATTTATTAAATGGACAGAAGTATTTTTTGATAAATAGATTTATTAGTTTTAAAAAAAATTATATTTACTGGTCTAATTAGTGTTAATACAAAATAGATTTTTAAATATGTTAATATGTCAGATTTGATTTATATAATTTATGATAGATAATAAATTAGATTTAGGTTTTAATTTTGTAAAACAGATTTTAGTTGCTCTGTTTTTAATTTGTAAATAAATACATATCTCATCTGTTATTTGTAAATACATTTATAACACCTAACTTTAAACGTTAACACCAATATGTATGTTTAAGCTTTAAGTCATTTATTATTCATATGCCAAAAAATAAAGTTCATGTGTTATTTACATTTTAATTATATTTCAGTAATAAATAACTATTTAATTATTAGTAAAAATTTCTTAAAAATTGTGCATTTTTTCCTTCTATATGATGATCTTAGTTAAAGGTTTTTACACAAAAATTAAGAACAATAATAATTTTTTTTATTATTTAATTTTACAAAATAGGTTAATTTTCAGTAAATATTTTACTTTTAATTGTGGTGATTAGATAATGCATGAATAGTTTAATTAAGAATAAATAAATAAATGTTATATTAAAAAATTAGAACATCCTATATTTAAGGATGCTTTAAATACTAAAATTTCAGTTATTGTAGGAGAGATTTAATAAACCTGAACAAAGTTTATTAAATAACGCGAGACATGCAAAAAAAAAAGTGATTAATTCTCTATAAATTTCAACTAGTAAAATGTATATTAAAAATTGTTTAAATAACATGTTACAAACAAGTGTGTTAAGACATTAGGGTTAATCTAGTAGTTGGGTGAGAAGAGATTAAGGTAGTTAGAACTTAGAAGCATGAGAAATTAAGTTTAATTCTCGTGATCATTTTTGTTATCTTTTCTATCTTTACCAAAAAAAGACAAATAAGTGTGTTAAATTTTTTTTGTTGACACGCACTTTTACATGTATAAATAAAAGTAAATTAAACACTTTAATTATAAATAAAAAGTATTATGAAATAGTATTTTAGAACGTGTAAGGCAGAAAATAAGTGTTATAATCTATAATAAATAAATATTTTTAATATAAATTATATTATTATTAATATTTGTAATAAATAAATATATTTGAACATATAAAATATATTTCATATTTATAATAAATAATTTATATTATATTGTAATAAAAATATTTTATTTTTGACAATATTAGAGTTGGCCTAATGATTGAGTTAGAATAATATGTTATGTGCGTTTGGATGAAGAATTTTAAAATTTTTTGTATTTAATTTATTTTTATTTCAATTTTAATCATTTTAAAAATATATTATTTATATAAGTCAATTCGAATTTCTTAAATTTTAAATTGTTAGATTAAATATGATAATTTGATTTCACAATGATAAAATTGATTTTAAAAATGTATTCATATGTTTATATTTTTAAATTAAATTTTATAAAAATAAATATTAGTCAATTTTTAAATATTTAATAAATTTTAAAATTAATATTAGATAATATTTAATAATCTTAAAAATATTTTTGATTATTCAATAATTAAAAATACAAAATTTTTAAATATACAAGTGAAATAAAAAAAAATATGAAGAATTTCAAATTTTTATTTTTTTTAGAAGAATTTAAAATTTTACTATTTTAAGAAATTTTACAAATGATTGGATTTCAATTTTTTTTGTCAATTTTCATCAAAACAAAATATTTTACCTTAGATCCTAAAGTCTCTCAATACTAAAAAAATAATTCAATTTGACAATATAAAATGATTTAAAATAATTATAACACTTTTACTACTCACAATGTTTATCTATCGTTGACTTTTTAATGAACAATTGTTATTACACTTTATTTTCTAAAGTGTACCTTCACCTTTGAAGTGTATCAATAATTTATTTTAAATTATTAAATTTTATTTATAAATAATTATGATAAATAAAATTTATATTAGATAAGAAGTTAAAAGAACCTCTAAAAATTCTCTCATTAAAAAAACACCTAAAAACATTTTTGTTAACGAGAAATCTTTAAAAATACTACAGAGAAGATAATCATTTGTGTTAATATAACATGTACAATGCATATAAATATTAATTATATATAATTAAAATATTTTAGGTATATGTACTCTAGGTCCAAAATGATTCGATAGAATTATAGGTTAAAAACCTTTTACTTTGACAAATAAGTTTAATTTTACCACAAATGAGTTCTTTTATTATTTTTTCAATCGCTTTCTTTTCAACACTCTTTGATAGATTGTGATTCTTGTTCCTCATTATTATTCATCATCTAAACACACCCCGAGTTGTTGATGGGCTTTTCCCTTGTAAATTGTTAAAGTTATATGTGCTTTTTGACGGAAATGAACAAAGGAGTTCATCACATGAGCTGCCCAAATATAAAAGATATTGAATTGCATGAATTTTCCAAAATTGCATCAGTTTCCATTAAATTTGAAAGTCAAAATATCATACAAAAGATAAAAGAAGAGGGCTAATGTTACATGCACTCTAATTCTTTCCCCGGCCTCCACTAAATTCTAACATATTCCAAGCCAGAGCCCTAACTTATATCAGCAACGTGGCTGATTTCTCTTCACTACTGATCAGCAAATAACAGTTTCCTTCCTACTTTTTGTTAAAAAAATTGTCTAAATACGATTGAAGGGTAAAATATTTACAGTTTCAATGAAAGATTAATTAAATTCTAAATGCATTTTGTAAGGAAACACTTCCACTGGTTGCATCAGCAGTTTGAGGAGTGGATAATATTGATCCAACGGGGCATGCAGAATTTGGGTTTAATGACTTATTTACCCCGTTTTTTGGCTTCACTATATAGGATGACTCCAATGACTGTGAGAGAATATCCAAACATTCCAGTCACTGATACAGGATTTCGAAATATCAAAATGGAGATAACAACAGCCACAGCTCCCTTTGCATTTCCCAGGACCTGACACAGTAATTACGACTTCAAGTTAATGATGTACAATGCATGGTTAGATATTACATGGTCAAATTAATGGTGTTACGACTATTTAGATGAAAATTGTATCTTCAGGAGTGTTTTATTAATGTGCTCAAATTCCTAATAGAACAAAAGAAAAGGGTGTGAAATGATTACCTGAAGTGTCAATGCACTGGTGTGCTTTGTGACTAAGAAATTTGTCAAATTGACAAAATATGCCAATGCAGAATTGAAGAGAAGTAACCACAAAATACTTGAATCCTCTCTAGCAAGTGAAATTGTGATGCCGACTACATCTTCCTCCATTATGATTGAAGCTGGAAGAAGGAATGCAACAGCTACTGGTGCCATGTACATAAGAAGGTTCATAGAATTGAGCTTATCCCTGAGAAATCAAAGAAACCATTTCAGTACTGACCTGGCCAAAACATCTCAAAATTAAAATACTATGTTGTGGAATATGGATGACACTCTTT